ACTGAAGTACCCAAGCAGATCGGTTGTTGTTTCATCACAGAGATTTTCTTGACCAGTCCCTCATCTACGAAAATTGTGAAGTCTTCGTTCTCGCTCTCCTCATAGTCATCTGTAACGATGTACCTTTCATCACTCTCCCGAATCCAAAATTGCTCCACATTCACAAGACGCTCCTCTAAAAACGGTACTTCAGCCATCCTTTTCCTCTCCTTCCACGACATTGATGCAACATCGTTGAAATCATCTTCATCAGAGAATGTCATATCGAGTGTTAATCGGTGAGGATATTGCCTACCATCCACCGACTCTCTCTCGTCTTCAACAACCTTTTCTGCTACTTCCAATAGTCCCAATCCATCACTCCTCAGACAATTGTTGGTGGATAGAATTTGATTGCCCACCAGCTCGTGGAACGTACTCATGGCTTCACGTACTACTTCTACCTCTCCAACAACTCTGCAGCCACTACTCATGCGAGCATCATCGGTGGAGGTGGTCGGACGAAGCGTTTGTTGGTGAGACCATCGGCTGTCTTCATCGACTTTCCTCGTCATTGTGGTCCTGGTGGATTCGCCACCGTCTCGAACCCCAGCACTGCAATAAGACCCTCGTTTGCCTTCAGCCGCCCTCCTTGTCTTTGCTGTCCATCTGGATCCATTTCCATTTTGGTCTTGAGCCTTGGAGACGGTCTGATTGTCTGACTTCCGATGGGACTGCCTCGTCTCTGTAGCCACTTTGGTGATGGCAAGGCTGTCGGCCTGCCAGTATGACTCCAACATGCAGTCAAGATCTTCCAACTCCTGGATGACCTCGTTGACTGGTTGATGGAAGAGTCCTCCCCCTTCTCCATCCCTCTTCCGTGTCTCCTTAGCCCTTTTGGATGTACTGCTAAGTGCGATACTCCTTTGAGTACCTCCAGTTGGAATGGGCAGATTAACTGTCTGCTGATAAGATCCTTGTGCGTTTTCAAGGAGCAGAGTGACCTCGACGCATTTCGACTCTGTATGTGGTTGACTTGATTCTTTGGACTTTTTTATAGACGCACTCACGGTTAGTCGACAACTTGCTTTGGGCAGATGCATAACAATCTTTTCATCTTCTCGCCTCAAGAGTGCGTCACTGTCCACCTCTGGAGCGTCAAAGATGGAAGAGGTGAGGCGATGGGTCCTGTCCCATTCCGCTATCCTCTCGGATCCATCCGCGAAGTAGTCCATGTAGTCGGATGGTGGATTGGTACTACTGGTTCGTAAGGTGGTTCTTCTTGCCAACACTACATCTCGCCCTTCAATCCCTCCTCCGAAGGCATCCTCCTCCTCCTCTTCGCTTGGACGGATGTTTTGTCTGTTCTGAGCAAAATCCTTTTTCCTCGACGTCTGCAATGCAATTTGGTGCTGTGTGGAGTCAGTAGAAGAGGTTGCCACCAAGGCATCCAACCTAGAAAATCGCCAGAGAGAGGGATCGACGGTTGCATCACCCACATTGCCAAGCGCATCCAGTGGCCATTCGAATCGCTGTGTCTTCCCCTTACGCTGAGTCAAAATGGGAAGGCAAAAGGCTTTACTCCTCCTAATTAACAAGACAAAATGCCTCAGCAGAGCTTAAGAACACAAAAAGGCAACCCAATAGATCAAATTTAAAGGGTGCTGCAAATTGGTAGTGATGGTTGATGAGTGGGTTAGTTTTATCTTTTCCAAGTCTACCACGAAAAGGTTCCCTTCATTAACATCGCGCCTGTAAAATGCGTGAGAAACTTTGACAGATTAGGGGGAAAGGGAGGTGGAAATGAAAGCGGTGCCGATGGTAAGAAAAGGGGAAAACAAAGGCCGAAGGAAAGAGGAGGAAGAGGAGGAGGAGGAGGAGCAGCAGTAGTTAATCGCATCGCAGTCTGTGGCGCAACTTAAGTCTTTTAGCTTCTCCAAAGACCTGTCAGTCGGTGGCGAAGGCGACAGCAAATTGAACCCATCATTTAAAACCAAAAAACGCACAATTTTTTCATGAGTTGTGACAAGTGATGGTGGAAGGAATGATCTGCCAGACACTGCACTCTCGCAGTGGTTAGTGAGGGGACGGCGCCTATAAAATGGCTGCAGCCGCATTATTCAGTGTGGTTGGAGGTAAGCACCGAATGACTTGTCAAAGAGGGACGACGACGAAGTAAGAAATTTCCTTTTTTGTTCAAATCAACAACATGCTCCTACCGCATGCAAGGCAACTGGCACATGACAAAAGTGAGGGCGACAAACCGAGTCGGCCTACAAAACACGGCACCGCAACTTCCTAGTCGGCAGTTCTCAGGCTCGCAGCCTTGAGTAAAAGTAATGTCAGTGACTACCTGTCCCTCATTGCATCCAGCAGAGAGAAGAAAAATTTGCTAATGTTAAAAGGGGAATAATTGAGGTGTCAAAAAGTTATTAAAAGCACAGCCAAACGCCTCACCTCTGTAGATTCACCCTTTTGTTTCTTCCATTTTGGCACACTGCGTCTCGGTAGAATTGGCTTTTTACTTGATGTCTGCATACACTTCTCACAGTCTTTGCTAAGGAGTACAAGAAATGGATAAAATGGTTGCATTAACTAGTGCTCTGTAATTGACTTGCCTACTTAATTACTATGAGTAGACTAAAGTTTGCAGACGACTTACGCATTGAAGTTGACGATGTTATTGACAATGGCGTCATGAAGTTGGGGTGAGATTTTTACAATATCACGACCCTTGAACAGCCTCTACAAGTCACGGATCAGATTACATGAATTTACTTCTTACACAGGAGAACATATTAAATAGTCGCTGTCTAGTCGAAGGCAGAAAATAAACAACTCACACGACTTCCGTAGAACAGCTGAATGGCGTAACTACAGTTGAGGGGTTGACATCCGTTTGCTGGGATCTGAGCTTCTCCAGCCACGTGACCTGGTACCCAACATTGAACACCCTTTTGCATGTTCTGCATTCGCACAAGAACCGGGTCGTTGAGCTGGAAATAAACTAGCCGCCATAAGCAATTTATTACCCCATTACATCGGGAATGTAGCTACAAAGAGTGGCTCTCGGTTCAGTGTATCCCGTAACAACAAGCAAATTAAAACCACTTAATGAGTATTGCTGGTGGTAGAATTTGACGGAGTTCGGGAGCATGTTCGAAAGTAAATGGAGAGATTTTTGCCTCGTTTGAAGCTGTCTACCTCAAATGAATGATACAAATCTTGCCAAAATTTCCTCGGCTGCACGTTGATAGTTATATATATATATATATATATATATGCACGTAGCTTCGATCCCACTCTCCTCTCCCCAACACCATGGGTCATCAATATATGGGAGATGTTAGAAACGAATGCCATCTTTACGTTGCTTAGGAACATTGTATTGTGCTCTGGTTAGGGAATTCTTAAAAAATTGTGGTGCTCATTTAAATCTTAGGAAATGATGGGAATGTAATGTAGTGCGTTCTGAGCTTTGAGGATAACCTTTAGTGCTGAGTTGCTACTGAATTGTTTATAAGTAGGAACTAAAGAAATGCATTAGCAGCGAAATCAAAGGAAATATACAATAAACGCAAAAACGTTAACCCTCAGTCTGTCACATCCAGCATTTATTGGTCACTGACCTCAAAGAAATTGTCAACCTTTAAACTCCTAACAGGGAGGCAGAGATGAATGGGAACCTCCTCAGTATTTCCGGAAAAACGAAATCGGACGAAGGCATTTTTTTCGTCCATAAAATTTGTAAGCCTTCCTGCAAAAGGAAAGCACAAATTGAAGTCTCTTGATGGCTTCCAGTTGCACAAAGTAGCTTACTATCGCCTCACCCATATGCATGCATCCGTCAACACGGTTGAGCGCTAGAACAACGGAATTTGGAGTGAGCATGGACATGAGAGATTTCAAAAGGACACCTTCACTGTCTCACAGTGCCAGTGGTGAAAATCAATTTGGCGCGGCGGTTCCATGTGATACAAAACAAAGTCGAATGAGACTTAGGTACAAGGGGAGGATGATAAACCAACGAGAAGGCACCTAAAATTCGACTAAAATCACGCACTTGTATAAAGCACCGAATCACAACCTGCATGAAAAATTAATCGAAGTGGCTTTAATTACGATCATCTGCTTAGGACTTAAATTTGTTAAGTTAAGATGAAAGTTACAGCGGTCTAAAAATTTCCACTTGGTAATGGAAGGCGTGAGACTTAGTTGCTCACCTTCCAGAAGCATGACGGTTTTCACAGTGTACGTCGCTCAACCAAAATACAGCAACTGTTCAGTAGCATATCTTACCCATAAACTCGATAAAATTTACTTGGCTGTTTATTTCACCACCACTGGCTAGGCAGAGTTCTGAGCCACGATACCGGCCCAAGTGCACAACCTCTGTCGGATGTTAGCAGTCTATGCTCTAGGCAGGAGAGTGGTTCTACAAGTACTACCACGCTAAAGTTGAGTCGAGAAGACCTGCTTTTTTTCGTCTCGGTATATAATTTTAGTGATAAAATAGTAATTCAGTTTAGCAGAGGGGATTATCTGATGAAAAAGTGCCAAAAGGCGTAGGAAAAATGCTCAAATCGAAGTTTCGTACCCAGTTTTGTGTATTTTTTGAACAGCAGCAATTTTATATACACATAATCAGACAATGAACATAATACTGAGGCCTTCGGTGTAGCGAACTGAGACCTCCTAGCCCGTATAAGTCAAAAAGTGAAGCTGGTTACGTGTATTCCGAAGGCGAGAGGGCAAATGGACTTGAGTGTGGCCCGTAGGCCTGCCCACGTGTACAAAAACCAGATAAATCCTAAAGTGACCTAGTGGTCACATAAACAAAGCACTACATTTGGCATAGCCCGAAGGCCGGCAAACAAAGAAGAGCTATATGTAACCTAACTTATCCGTCACCATGGGGGTCTTTTGAAATAAGAAAAACCGATATCAGCCCTACTTATAAAAGAAAACAAGTCTTTAAGCCAACTAAACTAGATCGTATTAAAGTTGTGCGAAAAATCGATTTTGGATATGAGTGCACCAAGGGCGAGGATATAAGAGGAATAGATGTAATAAGTAAACTGAGATTTTCGCTAAAGAAAAGAACAGTATTTAAAAAACCCTTTTTTACATAAAGAAACTTTTTTGGAAAACGCGTTAAAGGAATAAACTTCTGGTGTTGCTTTTCAAACCAATGACACCTCTTGTAACTAATTAAAAGTCCTGGTTTTTAAAAATATTTAAGCCTGAAAAATATTATATTATTTTTTTATCTCACTTAAAATTAGGCATGATTTGTTTCGTTGGCCTTGCAGCTAAACTCTGCGGTTTACATAAGCTTATGTAAAAGCGCCTCTTGTGATTTTCGTGTGGACATTTTGTTGGCATTTTGGTGCCATGGCTGCTAGGGCTGTCAAGCGTCTTGCTGGAAACGGTACGGGTCAAAGTCTTGTGGACAGAATGACATCAATGAAGCACAGCATTGCTGGGTCGTTGATCGCGAAAACCATCTGCAAGGCTACTACTGAAGAAATGATCGCGCCGAAAAGAAAACATCTTAACAGTATTTCTGCGTTTTTTTTCACATATCTATCGTTGTAGTTTTGGTCAGCTGTACATATGAGCTTCGTCTTTCAATGCCAGAATTCGCAAACTACATAATTGGGCGATCACATAACAGCAGTTGGGTCGTGTCTTTCAAGGCTCTCATTACGATTCACCATCTGATGAACAGCGGAAGCGAGGTGGTATCATTGGGCATGTTTTAATCCATTTGTGGCTCCTTCTTTGGACATCTTTAATGTATGCCTGTTTTTTATTTCCAGCGCTTTTCCCAATATCTAGCGTCGAACAATTGTCAGCTTTCATCTCCTCGTTCCTTTGAGCGAAGTAACTCACAGGGTAATTTTTCTTTGCCTTTTTTATTTTGCTTTTCCATTGTGTCTTATTTTCAGTGCTTTACTTTCTGATTCTTTAGCTGCTACGATGTTCTTGTTCATTCGGCACTATGCTCGCTATCTCGATGCACGTTCGGCTAGTTACCGCCAAGTCGCCTTCGATTTCTGCAGAATCAGACGGAAGTACGTGTGCAGTTAAAGTTCTTGCCGTGTCGATGGTGCCTCTTTTACAGAGATCTTACCTTATACCACTTTTGGGATTTCAAATACTCACCTGATTAGCTCCGAAAACTTTTCGGACTTTTGAGTTGGAGCAATCTTGCCTAAAGATTTTCATTTTTGAGGCGACTGTTCGCCGTATTCTTCTATTTGCGGGTCAGTATTCAAGCACTTGAAGCATGAATGCTTAGTTTGCGTTAATTCTAATTCAACATTGTTTTAACACCGATTTGTAATGTAAAGCTTAAGTAACTAAGCTGCTCACATCAGCGTCGCTGGAATTTGGAGCTTACTACATAAGTGCGATTGCACTTCTTTGAGTCGAAATCAATTTGATCTCTCCAACTTGCTTGCACTAGGTCATTAATTCCGATTATTGCCACTTCGCACAGTGAAGAGGCACCTTTTTCGTCAATTATGCCTTCTTATATCACTTTTAATATCCTGATGATTGTATTATTATTTTTCTTACAAGGAAAGGTGCTATCCACTTTTGCGCACATGTGTTACCCATCCACCCACTTAGCATGACCGTATGCCAAAGTTCACCTGTCGATAATTCTTTAACCTCTCCGCCTTGTATTTGTGCGTAGTTTTTAACATGATTTTCACAGTTCTTTTCTCGTGAGTTGGTGTTTGTCTGAGCAACTGTTAGGCCTCAGCTGTGGTCGGATTTGTGTATTTGCTGTCACCGCTACTCATTTGCGATGTTCGGAATTTATCTTCTGAAGTGAATGCCACGACTAGGTTCCATTCATTCTCATTTGCATAAAAGCCGTTTCTGAGGCGACTCTTATCGCAAATAGTTTTGAAAACCACAAAATGAATTGTACATTTTACTTCATTCTAATGCGGATTCATTTGCTTTTTGTCGTCAGATAGATCAGCCATTTCGGTATGCATCGTTACTTCGTATTAACTGCGTTTCTCGTTCCTTCTTCGCTACTTCAGTAGCGAATATTTCAATGCGGATTTAATCGGAAGTTAATTGATCCTTCTTTTAGAGTTAGGCTTGAACGATCTTTTTTAGCCAAATATCCTCCGACCTTTGGGGAGGAGCGGGGCGTTAGTGCTAAATCTTATTTTTATTGCAAAAGCAATGCAATTAAAAGCTGATGACGATGTGAAAAATAAACACTCATTCTCTCAACATTGAAAGAGAGGAAACTGTCAAACCTACGAATTTAAACCATGCGCACCTGATTAATAAACATAAAATTAACCCTCCGAATTCATTCAAGGTTTCTGCCTTTTTTTGGTTCACTTTGAGGCGTTCGCCTGAGTCGACGTCTGAACGGCTCTGCGTGTTATTTGCCGCTCGCTTCTTCTTATGAATCCATCACTATCACGCAAGTCCTCGTCGACTTCGCGTTTTGAATCACCTCAGACCTAAGCTATTTGCCTGGGTCTCTCAATAGCCTTTTTTCTGAACAAAAAAAAACGAGTAAAGGCATTCTCGGAAATCACTGGAATAAGTTATGCAACATGGCCATGCGTATGGTGAGTGCCATTTCGCCTCAATGTCTTGTGCGGGTTTTCAGCTTCTGCTCTTCTGCCCCACCATTCGTCCGTTGTATTTCATGTGGTGCAAATTTTTAGTTTATCGTGTCTATTTTTTGTTAATTTTCAAGCTTTTTTGACCATGAGTTGTGGGTTATATGAGAAAAAGCGTATCCGATTCCATCTGCGACTGTCCATGTCTCCGATTTCAACTGAGCTTACGGTGGTACATAATTGTGCCACGAATTTCTCTGGCTTAAAGTTGGAGTTGTATGTCCGGATTTCATTTAGCATATTTCCTCCTCACCTTATCTGTGCGTTAATAAGGAATCTTGGCTTCTCTCTCTCTCTCTCTCTCTCCGCAGTCCGCACAGTCCCAGTAGTTGAGTTTTGTGAAGGCGTGGTTGGCAGTGACCTCTCGATTTCATGCAGATCATCGTTCTGTATTGGTTCAAACCTCGACTGTAGCCAGGGCATGAAGTCCAAATTAAGTTAGCCTCATTTCGATAACAATGACTTTGTGGCGAATTGCGGTTATGTTTACACTGGGAGAGTCAATCAACTACTCCTTAATTAAGGTGGACCGAATCCACTGTCATTGTGCCATTGCCTATCGCACAATGAGTGGCTAACATCAAGTCGGAGTTGCATAATAATTATATTTGGGGTCAGCAAGCAACAGTATTGGCTCCGACTGTTGACGCTTTGCATTTCCAGCAGTGATTTTTCCTTTTGTGCAAGGCGGCTGCACATGTGACCCTGCCAGCATTGTTTTCGTGGCTCGTGCACATTCAATTAAAGGTGCCAGCTAGCTTAGCCATCTCGATTGGAGGTTGTGGCTTCGTGTGTTCTGTGGTGTTTTGATTCCTTCTGCCAAAATTGCCCTTTTTTTCTGAGAGAGAGACATGCGTCTACTCTTGTGGATGTTGATGTGCCACAGGGTCAAGTCGAGGAGGACCAGAAAAGGAGCCTTTGCTTAAGTATCTGTTTCTTCCATCAATCTGATGGTACATCTTCCTGCTCACTTGTCACTCGAGGCTAACATTCACCCCAATGCATAATCTTCGTGCTCATTGTAATCTAACCAACCAATTATGCCTTTTAAATGCTAAAATTCTATGCTTCTCCTATCTTATCACCCGCTTTGACCCCAAATCAGTTGTTAATCCCCACAACTGAACCCACCTAGAGGGGACTTTTTGATTAGTGCCTTTAAATTTATTCAGCAATCATAAAGAAATGGCTTTCCTCTCGACTTTAGCCACGATTAGCCCACCTCCTGGACTGCACTGCATCAGTACTTTTTAAGCTAATGTGTGTTATTAGTGGAATTTGCGGAGATGGAGGAGGAAGTGAGGTATTTTTTGCCGTTTTTTTCTCGTTTTTCTCCAAAATGGACAGTAAAGTGTGAGTTGGTGAGAGCACAAGGCCATTGTCCTGCAATCGCATTGGTGGGACGCGAGCGCGTTCACCAGCCGCCTGTTTACAGTGGCCACGTACACAAGTACCAGTGGTGGGGGTATGTGAGCACTTTATGCAAACACAGTGGCACAAGACTTGACGGTGTTGAGGCAGTACTGGTAAGCGCAGTTGCTCCACACTCACCCCTCATTGTTAATGCACACAAAACGAAGATCAACAGCAATATTTCAACGTTGTTGTTTGGCGCTTCTCGAGTCTCGTTGTGTACGCGGCCATAGGGTGATGCATTGATGGTCTGAAGGGTTGCTAAACGTCTCTTTCCATCGGATTGAGGTGGTTTTCTGGTCATCTTAACCCAAAATCTGTTGTGTACGGAAGGTGGGTGTTAAGGTTGGCGCTGTCCGAATTTGGGGATGTTGAAAGAGGCAAAGTGAATAATTTGTCCACAAGTGGAGAGAATTTTTGGCACTCTGAAATCCTCATTTGTCAGTCATCCACTCCGGAAGTTGACAGATGTGAGTCTGACCGTTGTCCATCCGATTTGCCTCATCGTTTTAACTTTAGCCTCTGAAAAAGAAAACATTCCAATGTCTCTTTGGTTCCGTTGATCTGCGATTGTTGGGATCCCTTTTTCGTTCTGCAATCCATCCGTGCACCCACACAATTTAACCGCCTCGCCTGGTTTACCTATTGAAATAGCCAGAGCGGAATTGCTCACCCTAACCGTCGTCTAAATTGACATTTGGATTCGTCTTAGCACACCGCATCGTTGAAGTGCCAACCCAATTGTCTGACAATGAGCTGTGGCTCTATTTGGATGCTTAAAAGCTTTCAATACTTTTCAGTCGTACGGTTAGATCACCACCAGACTCGGACAAAGTGACTCTCTGCATTTCGCAAGTGTTATTCCCCTTCTCCTCCTCTCTTTCCTCGTTATCATTCCTTTTTTTCTTTGGCTCCACTTCTCTGGCTTCTGATTTCGACTGACCTTCGTCTTATCCTTGCATGTGTACGCGCCTTCTCCTTCTTAGGTCGTTCTCAGGACACAGGGTTATGCATTCGCTTCTCTTCGCTTGACACTTTCTTCGCCACTTTGTTTATCATCTCCTCACACTCACCTTCGCATTTTCTTTTATCCAGAGCTGATGACGTGAATATGAAAACGATGCCATATCCCAAGGTGAGATATCCTCTCTCCTCCCTTCCTTTTGGAGACTGGCGCACTCCTGTGACTGCCTCCTTTTAATAAATGTTATTTTTATGCGTTGCAGCTGGTCCGAGCTGTGCCTCCTCTGGAGCGACAAATTGATGCCCTCCTGGCGTTTGATGTGAGTTTACTCAGTTCAAGGGGATCTACTCTCCAATCAGCTAGTTTCACTAACTCAC